TTATACCTTGCTTCATGCTGAATATCTCATAAAATATAAATAAAAGAAATAATTAATTTTATTTTAATTCAAAAACAGTGTTATAAATATAAAACTATTAGACTGATTTTTAAAAAATTCACATTAAATTCAACAAAATTGTAAACAAAAACACTCTATATTCTAGTCAGTGTTCTAAAAAGCGTTCTAGGTGTTCGCCTAGGCGGCGCTTAGGCGCTAAGCCCCTATGGACCGTGACGATTACCGCTTTTGCCGCCTAAAATATTATTGTATAATAACAATAAAATAATATAAATTTTCTTATATAAATTTGGCTATAAAATGATGAATATAAATAAAATATAAATTTTGTTAGTTATAAATTATGATTTATATATTTTGTTATATATATATATATATCTAATATATTATGTATTTTTGTAAAACGCTTAGACCGTCTATTAAATTGCCTAGACTTCGATTATGCATTCTAGACATTGGGCATTGGGTCACCACCAGCTTAGTGCCTAGGGCTGAACATTGATTCTAGTATACCTTAATTCTAACGTATTCATTATTACATAATCCAATGTCCTTCACACCGACCTAAGTTCAAATATTCGATTATGATTTTATATGTAAATAACGATAAATGTATAATAAAATTGGAATTTAAATACATAAAGATGCTGTCAGAAATTTAATGAAAATATCTAAAATTATGGAATTATCAAATTGAACATATGATCTGGAGTCAAACATGGAAACAGTGACTACTGTTTGGTTACAGCATTATTATTATTGCTTTCTCGGTTGGAGAAAAAGGAACAAACCCATTAAAATTTGTAATAATTTCGTTGTAATATTGATTGATGTATGATGTACCGATAATATAAATATATAATATTACAAACTTTTGACAATGCGCATTCTGCCATTTGAGAAAAGATTTATGGAAAAATAGCAACTTTTAAAGTATGTATTTTTTGGTTAATTTTAATTTAACGATAGATTATAGTATTATTATACTAATATTTTTGCATTACCAATTCATATTCAAATCCGAAATAGACGTTATTACGTTTTGGAAACTCAATAAAAATAAATGGTTAGAGAAAAAAAAATCTAAAAATCTCTTATTAACGATTCGGCCCATCAAATTAAATATGGGCTTTTGGATCCATCACATCTTTCTGGTTTGGACGGTCCAATGAAATGTCAGATTTTTTTTCTTAAAACTTTTCAAATATATTATTATCTTATCTATGAACTATGATTAATTAAAATATATTACAACACTCTCTTTCTTTCCACAATAATACAATATTCATACTGGGAAGATTCGATTGATGCTCTTTATTAGTCGAGTATTTGATAATTTAAAGCTTAGTCACTCATATTTTAATTAACATAATTAATTGTTTTTTCCATTTGTTATCATTAATACACATTCCTGTGATTTTTAAGTGTGACATTATTGTGTTATTGCAGAATTCAGAAGAATATTAACAAATGTGAAAATATTTGACTCCTACATGGCCTTTATTCACAGTATCTCCTCTAAAATCAATTATCCTTTAAAAAAAAAATATTTTAATTAATAAAACAATGGCCTTTATTTAGCAAAAACGTACAAACGTAATGTTTCATCAATATAAGACAAGTAATTAATGAAGCATAAAGAATTGTCTTTAAACATTAAACAAACTAAAAACATATATAAAACCAAAGCATATGCATAGATACCCATTTGGTGTGCACATCGACCTGTCTTTACGTATTTGACAATTTTATTCAACATTTCAATATCTTATAAACAAATATTGAATATTCATGGCCTTATAAAAAAAAAAAAAAATTAGTCTAGTCTCTCTCAAGAGAAGCTGAAGTTTGACCGTTGAACACAAAGACAAGTAATGATTTCGCAGAGAAGAGCGTGAAGAGATTGTTAAAAAAAGTTAAAAAGTCGAAGTATCAACGGTCACGATTTGATCAAGATCAGACGGTTGAGATTAACGAGTGAGGGTTGGGTTAAGCGTAACGACTACGATGATGACACGTGTTCCCTTATTTGACGAGATAGGTCGTTACTTTATTAATTCCTCAAACCAAAAGACCC